AGTATGTTAAGAATCTCATATATATATATATATATATATTTATTTTGGGGGTGTCATTCCCTTTCATGCTCAACACTGGCTGCACACCCCACTATTGTACCATCCCCTTAATTCTCGGCCAATTCCACTTTCTTTCACTACATTCATAGTATTTAGTTTTGGAGTCCACAAAGCTACTTATAGTAAACTCTTCAAAGTTCAAAATTTCCTTTTTTTGTCGCATGTTTCCACTGTTGGCAGTACAAGTCTTTTTCTATCAATTGCACCTTTATTTTCCCTGCATTTCTTTGCTTCGTACTATTCTTCTCAATTGTTCTCTCCAAAGTTTCCTTCTTTGTCTCCTTTTCTGATTCAAAGTTTTAGCTTCTCCAATTGGGGTACCTTAAATTTGTGTAGAACATCAGATTTGCTAATGTGAAATTTTATTCTAGCTCTAGTATGGTTTTCTGCTCTTATGTTTAAATGAATTTCAGTTTCTAGGATTTGTTATTATGCACAAATCACTCGTGACAGCTGACAACACTTGAAACAAAGAGTGATTTCCACTGAGTATATTTTATGAACAGAACCTATGATTTTTGTTGGCTTTAGTAGGGGTGAATGGGGTTTAATTAACAGCTATTATAGGTAGAATTGGGTTGAGTATTGGAGATTTAGAGAATTCATATTTGAACAACAGAATTAGTAAAGATTTCAAACATGATTGTGAGGAAAAACAAGCCAAGTGCAAAGCCACTACTTATGTTTCTTATGGTTCTTGCTTTTTGCTTTGTCACTTATAATCTGGTATTTATGATCAAACCCCATAAGGGTGGAAGTTGGGTGGCAGATGAGGTTGGATTTCTTGATCCTGTGATCAGGATGCATGGAAATTCCAATTCAAAATTCCATGTGGCAGTGACTGCAACTGATGCAGCTTACAGCCAATGGCAATGCCGGATTATGTACTACTGGTATAAGAAGGTAAAGGACATGGCTGGATCAGACATGGGAAAGTTCACCAGGATAGTGCACTCAGGAAGGCCAGATCATTTGATGGATGAGATTCCTACTTTTGTGGTTGATCCACTTCCTGCTGGCATGGATAGGGTAAACAAAAATTATGCTTCTGCTGTCAGAATCCATATCCTTTTAAGCTATGTAACCTATTATTATTGTTGTTGTAATTTGTGAATTGCCATTTTATAGGAAATTCTTAGAATGTGAGTTTGGCTTAATTCATTCTTACATAGTCGTCTTGTAAGATGATGGTTGTCCCACTTTTATATACAATTTTGTCTTTACCACTAGTCAACTTGTGAGCTCCAACACCCTTATCATCCTGAGAATTGAACATGTTAAACGTCAAATTTGTAAGACTGAAATCTATATATGGTCCGATTACAGCTTAATAGAGGGTAACCCGATGGGCTTAATAACAAAAGATCAATGTGCAGCCAAAAGAACACTCTGATTTCTCTCCAACACTCTTGCTTCAAAACATAAGTGCTATTAAGCATACCTACGAAAGACTGCTATATGATTTATTTCACCTTATATATTGTGTTTAACATGGTAGAATCTACATATATTTAGCCTTGTAATTTGTACAATGGTGGTTCATGCAAATGTAGGGAATGAAAGAAAGTGGAGATCAAATTGATAAGTGCTCTAGTTATGTTGCTTTCTTTACTAAAATAATGAAAAGAGATGTGTCTCGCTTACATGTTTTTTTCCCTTCATAAAATGGTTTGCAACTTTAATCTCTCTCTCTTTTATCTCGGTACTTGTATATTTTAAGGTAAAGTTAGACTAAAATAGCATTTTCCCAATTTATGCATGTTTACCATCTACAGCATATATAGTTTTTCACCCAAGTTGACACATTAAAACACCAATTTAGAAGCCTCAATACTAAATGAAATGCTTTATGCAACCTGAGTTTGGATTCATATTTGACGCATGGTCATCAGGCTATGGCATTAGCTTAGTTATTTAAATGATCTTAAATAATATATATATATATATATATAGATATAGATATAGATATAGATATATATACCTGAATTACTCTCTAGTAGCTTGACTCATGTTTCTATTCATTTGAGTATACAAATCCTTTTGCAAATTATAATAACAACCAAGTGCTCAGATACATGGCTCAATTAACTCAACTGAAAAGTTTATCATCAATTTTATTATTTGTGATATTTCTTTATTATTTCTTACTATTGAATTGACGTTTTAAAAAAATTGTGTGTTTATTTTTTATCAGGGTTATGTTGTCATGAATAGACCATGGGCTTTTGTTCAGTGGCTGGAGAAAGCAAATATTGAGGAAGAGTAAGGCTTTTTTTCATTACTGTTTTGAAAAACACTTCTGTTTTCTAAAATATACTAAGAGGTGCCTCTTAGAAGATGAAACTGTTGATCAGTTAAGCACTTGAACAAGAACATTTGAAGAAAACATAGGAAGATGATGAGAAAACATCTTCCAATTTTTTCTTTATTTTTGTTTTTGGAATACTTGTCTTGGAAACAATTTTCAAAACTTAATAGATTTTTTATGATCGCTTAATAGTGTTGTTTTAGAAAACCATTTTTGTTAAGAATATGGATTTTGTGTCTAACTTCACCTTAGAAAACTGGTCTATTAGATGAAAATTGCATCCCGCTTATATACTCTGAGTTCATTTAGGCCCACCGTCTTAAGAGTTTTTTATACAAAAAGTTGAGAATGGGACGAAACATCTATGTTTCTTTATTCTGGTTTTCTAGCACTCCAGTAATAAAACCTAAGCAGTGCATTTTATGAATGGTGCAGGTATATTTTGATGGCAGAACCTGACCACATATTTGTACATCCTTTACCTAATTTGGCTTATGGAAACCAACCAGCAGGGTATCCATTTTTCTATATAAAACCAGATAAACATGAAAAAATAATTAGGAAATTCTACCCTAAGGAGAATGGTCCTATTACTGATATTGATCCCATTGGCAATTCTCCTGTAATCATTCAGAAGGTGAATGCTCAACTACTAATTTACACATGTTGCCAGATTGATTTTATTACTAATATTATAACTGTTATAATAATAATAATAATTATTATTATTATTATTATTATTAAAAAGCATAATAGCTTTCCATTGTGGCATTGATTTTTCTTTAATCAGTCCTTGCTGGAGGAAATATCTCCCACTTGGGTGAATATTTCCTTACAAATGAAAGATGATCCAGAAACTGATGAAACTTTTGGATGGGTACTTGAAATGTGAGTAGTACTATATAAACATTTTAGAGTTTTGTTTCTAATAAGTTACCGATTATTTGATATTGATTTTTGTTTATAACTGTTGCTAACACTTGCCAGTACTGAAAGATCCAACTTTCTGCTTTAATTCCTTTGTTGAAAAGGTATGCATATGCTGTGGCATCAGCTTTGCACGGTGTACGGCATATTCTTCATGATAACTTCATGGTCCAGGTTTGTTTGTTTGTGAATGAGGAATTGCATCTTTTCTTAAGGAAGTAACATTTAAGTCAATGACATGCATCATTGAAATGTTGCAGCCCCCTTGGGACTTAGATGTTGGAAACAAGTTTATAATCCATTATACTTATGCATGTGACTACAATTTACAGGTGAGTTAATTTCTTCTTACTTTCTATTCTATATTAAAGGAAAGGCCTGTTTGAATAAACCTCATCATCATAAGCACTTATAAAGAAAATAAATAGAAAAGAAAAATAAAATAAGTTTTTCTATAAGTTAAAACTAGTTTATATATAAGTTAAAAGAAAAAAAAGGTTTTAGGAAAAGTTAAAATAAAAGAAATTCTACAAATTAGTTTATATATATATATATATATATATATAAAAGCTAATTTTAACTTATAAAAAAACTTATTTCATCATCTCTTCCTACTTTTTTAATTATTTCTAGAGAAATTTATCTAAAAAAAACTAAGTTAGCAAGACATATTCCTTGATCAATATGCCCTTTGATTTCATTTCTGTCCATATGCAAAATTAGACTCTTGCATGTTTAAGTTTGCTTGTTGCAAAAATTATTTACTACTATTACTTGTCCATTCAGGGGGAACTGACATATGGGAAGATTGGAGAATGGCGTTTTAACAAGAGATCTTATCTCACGGGTCCTCCTCCCAAAAACCTTTCGTTACCCCCTTCCGGGGTTCCTGAAACTGTGGTAAGTTGTCTTCAAATTTTTTCTGCTTTGGAAATTATCATTCAAACCCAGCTAGGTGAGGAGTTGGCGAGTTGAGTTGCTATTTCCCTTTTTAAACAATTTGAATTGTCTTGCACCTTCTTGATCTTCATTTTGTGAAAGTTATTAACATAATAAGAAAAACAAGTGATAGGATGTTTAACCATGATCACAGATATTGATGGATCAACCTCATTATTAGCAAAATTTGGCTCCCAGTTTATGAAATCTTTAGAAAATGTCTTCCCTGACTAGTGTCTCTTCTTGGTTCTTACTTATCATTTGTGTCTATTAAACCTTCAAAAATATAGAAGGGATTTTGGGGTTATATGTATTTGTATCTATTTCTTTTTTATAAGCTCTGTACATGTAACCATGTATTTCAACCTCTGATTTAAACAACTTTTATAATATACATAAAAATTGTCATGTTTTGCAATCTATAGGAAAGAAGGGAGCTGTGTCTTCAATTTTTATTTATCAATATCTGGTCTAATACAAGTAGCTAATTCCTAAAGCTAGACAATAGGTAAAAAAAATTAGTTGAGAGACTCGTTAAATACTTATTTTTAGATTTGGTTTTCTTCATTGAATACACTACTGGACATTAGCTAACAAGAAGAGCCACATCATTGTGATAACAAAGGTTGTTCTGTTTTAATCCATAAAACACGAACTTTGATATGAACACCAAACACGACAAGGACACGCTAACATTGTCAATGTCTAAAATATTGGACAGAGACACTGCATACACACAGAGAAATTCTAATGAAATGAAGTATGAGTAATATAACAAAAATATCTAAATTGATGGAATATTCACCTTTTTAAAATCAACCTTCTATTTTTTACTTTGATAACAAGCCTCAGAAATGAATAAATTTCTATTAATATTAGTGTGTGTCCATCCTTATGAAGATGTAGATTCAAATGTCTGAGTTGTGTAAAGGTGTTGGCTTAAGTGTTCATGTCAACAAAAAACTGTTTTTTTTTTTAATTGAACACCTAAATGGCTGAGGCATTAGAAAATCAATTGAACGACAAACTTTGGCTGTGTTTGTCAGATTTTTTGTTTGTTGGAGTTTTGGGCTGTTACTCTAAAGATTTTTAAACTATAAAATTACAATTGTTTTAACTGAAGCTTCATTCATACTATGGTCATTTTGTGGTTGCTAATTTTAGGAGCTAATAGATACTTCGATGACTATTTGCAGGTGCAGCTTGTAAAGATGATCAATGAGGCTACTGCTAACATACCTAAATGGGATTCATTAAATAGAAGCTGAGGAAAAAAAAATAAACTACAAGGTTTTAGGCCCCTCATGCTAGTGGTTACTAGACGAGAAACAACTATACTGATTACATGGGAAAATAGATTACTTTAACCCAGAGAAGAACTGTAATGAACACAAAGATGTTTTGGTGCTAGCGCTAAATACATTTTTTATTATAACAAGTCAATTGTTGCTATTGAAACATATATAAAAACATTTACAGTTGGTCAGTCAACTTTTTTCCAACAGATTTTTGTCAGAGGGCAATCGATTGAAACATCTTCTTGCCAGAATGTTATATCTACAGTTCAATGTAAAAGTAACCACCCAAAGTTTTGAATTGAATGATAGTATATTGGTGCATTATAAATATCATTTCAAAGCGGTATAATTTCCTTTGAGCATGTTTTAAGAAAAATTAATAAACCAGTTTTTGGTTAAAATTTAATGGAGGGAACTTGAGAAAGTCAAATGTGATAATCTAAAAGGAAAAAAAAAATGAGACTTAAAATACTTTGTGGTGTAAATACAAGTCACTAAACCATTATATATGGAGTCTATAAAAGTTATAGACTTTCTCTAACTAATTTGCTCCAACTTCAGTTGGTTTTTAGACAATGGTTAGTGGAGATCTACACCATACCTCAAAAAAGAAAATAGAGAGAATCTGGTAAATAAATGAAATCCCATGGATACCATAGAACTTGGCAATATTTCTATCGAAAACATGTGGCTCTTTTCCAGTTATGTATAAATGTATGTATTTGTATTACATTGATTGTTTTCATTTCTTCCTCCCTCTCATGCTACATGTTTTATTATTTTTCTAAGGGTTTGTGTTTGCAGATCTGGATGATCTAGTAGTCAAAGAAGGCTTCATCTGAACTATATGTTCTTCATTCACACCCATTTTCCTTGCATAACGACCTGCTTCAAAAAACCTGCTAACTGCATCATCCATGTAATCTTTCCCTTGCTTAACAGTCATGTCCTTCCCTATTGTACCTGGGAAACTAGTGAAGATATTATCTCCTTTAAGAACTGCTGCAAGTTGGATCAACTCCTGCTGA